TGTATTCTTAGGATTCACCACGTCAGCTTAATAAATGGTGAAATGAGTCAGTGAAGAGTTATGCTGTAGTCAGTCCTTATTTGTAGCTTCTGAGAAAGTAGAAGGGAGAAAGGGGAAGTTATATTGTATTCTATTCTTTTGAATCTAGGTCCTGTTATGTTCCCCAGGGTGGTCTCCAACTCCTGGACTTGAGCAGTCTTTCCCCCACATTCTCCCAGCAGCTGAAACAACAGGCAGGGCCACCCACCTGGCTAGAAAGGGGAGTTTTAAAAATAAGCTGGAGGCCAGGCATGGTGGCTCACACCTGTAATCCCAACACTGGGGAGGCAGAGTCAGGAGGATCACTACGAGTATGAGGCCAGCCTAAACTCCATAGTGACAGCCCTCTCTCTCTTGTTTTAAAATCTCATCTCAAGCTGGGCGTGGTGGCGCACACCTGTAATCCCAGCATCCAGGAGGCAGAGTCAGGAGGATCACTACGAGTATGAGGCCAGCCTAAACTCCATAGTGACAGCCCTCTCTCTCTTGTTTTAAAATCTCATCTCAAGCTGGGCGTGGTGGCGCACACCTGTAATCCCAGCACTCGGGAGGCAGAGGCAGGAGGATCGTTGTGAATTTGAGGCCAGCCTGGGCTACAAAGTGAGCTCAAGTTCAGCCTGAACTGGATAGCGAGACCCTGTTTCAAAAAGACAAAAAAAAAAATCTCTGGTTCAATCCCCAGGGCTAGGGAGGAATGTTTCTGGGGCACTCAATTAAATGCTTTTTGTCTTCTAGTTTATCTTCACAGCAAACCTGTGAGGTGAAGTGAATAGGTGAATATCCAACTTTACAGAGAAGAAGACAGTGCCTGCGAGGCGGAGTGACTTCTCTTTGGTCACACAGCGAGGAAATGCTGCCTCTAAGCTCCGGGTACCAAAACAACCCTGAGCAGAACGCCTTCCAGTGCCCGGAGCAGTGGGGAATGCGTGATCTCGGCAGCTCCCCAAGCGCTTCAGCGCACCAGCTCCTGTGTGCAGTCTCACAGGTCACTGCTTTCCACAAAAGCCTGTGAAGAGGGTCTGAAGCGTCCGCTCCACCAGCAGGGCGGATGTTCAGGGAGCTTGACTTCGAGTCACACAGCACGGTTTGGGGGGTGGGGGAGACCGCCGCTGGCTGCACTTCCCCGCTGCGCCCTGGTGCTCACCACTTCCAGCTCATCCCTCTGCCAGTCACCTCCTTCCGTCCCCTGGCTGGGCCCTGCCCTGGCCGAGCAGCGCTGACTGCAGGCCCGAGTGTGCGGGAGGAGGAGGTCATGCTTCACTCAGGCCAGGATCTGTATGCAGTTTTTTTCTGTGCTGGGGATTGAACCAAGAGCTTTCACACTGAGCAACATTCCCCTCTCTGTCCTCCGCTTGTAACATTCTGAGACAGAGTCTTGGGAAGTCATTACATTGCCCAGGCTGGGCTTGAATTTGTACTCTGTCTGCCTCCCAGAGTGCTGGGATTATAGGCATGAACCACCACACCCTTCCCTTCATTTTTCTTCTCCTCATCCTCTTGGGTGCTGGGGATCAAACTCAGGGCCTCATACATGCTAGTCAAGTGCTCTACTGCTGAACTACATTCCCAGCCCTGTTTACAACTTTTCTGATTCTGGGTTTTGATAGTGATTGGTTTGATTGATTGTTTGTGTCACGATCTCACTAAGTACTACAGGGTGACTTTGAACTTACTATGTAGCCTGGGCTGGACTGGAACTTATGGTGATTCTCCTGCCTCAGCCTCCTGAGTGCTGGGATTACAGGTATGTGCCACTGTGCCAAGCTGGTAGTGATTTAGAAACAGAATCTCCCTAACTTCTCTGTCCTGGGTTCAGGTCTTACCTGCAGGGGTTTCAGCAGGAGAGAGGCCCACCAAGGTCTTTGCAAAAGAGGCCTCATGAGGGGACTGTTCAGAAGCGTTAGGAATGGTGGCGCACCTGCTGCATGCAGCAGTGGGATGGAGTTAGTTCCTTGGGCCTGTAGGGACAAGGGAACACAGCTTCGTTAGGGAACCAGGTAGGAGCTGCACCCATGGGTGCGGTGCACCCAGTAGGAGCTGTGGCTTTCAGTCAAGGAGGAGGGTAACTGCCAGAATCACAGAGGGAGGGAGGCGTGATAATCATCCTAGTCTCCCTCTCTCTCTTTCTGATCTCCTGCTATGGCTTCTGTTATACAGACACCACCCAAAGCCAGAAACCCAGGGGGCCATGCACTGTCAGGGGAGCCAGCCCCAGGACTCAGCAGGCAGGGCAGCGGGAAGCCGGCAAGAACCGAGGCGAGGCAGAAAACAGCAAGCCTCTGGCTGCTCCCCTCCCAGGCTTGGCTTTGTGGAGGGGCTGCACTTGTCTTTCAAAGCATGATGTGTGACTGGCTCTGAAACCCCCTCCCTCAGCCTTCCAGACCCAGCTTCCTCTGTGCAGCGGGGAGGCTGCCCCGGTCCTGGAGCTCTTCTCTCCCCACCTGGCCTCCCTGGCTCTCCGGGCCTAGCAGCACATGGCTCAGCCCAGTGGTTTGGCACACCCTCCGCGCAGACTCAGCCCCCGTAAGGTGGTTCTAGCCTCCTCCGCATGGTGAGCTGCTTGCAGGCCTGGGCCAAATAAGGCCATTTGCCCTAACACAGGCCCGGCACAGACCCAGAGCCAGGGTGTGCCAAGTGAACCAAGCCCTATGACCCCCTTACCTCACTCTGCCTGGGTGGAGACAAACTGCACCATGTGTGTCTGTCTCCTGGAGTAGACTAGGACTCCTTGGCCATGGGTGGCCCAGGCCTGGCACGCAGCAGGCGTCAGATGTTGCCCAGATTGGCCTAGGTAGGACCATCCTGCATTCCCTCCTTCGTCCAACAAAAATTCCTACTACTGTATATACCAGGCCCTGTGCTGGTCCCCAGGGACACAGGAGTAAAGAAAACACATGTTCCTGCCACTTGGGGATTCCATTCTAGTGGGTGTTTTTGTTCTTTTTTTTTTTGTCTTTTTGAGACAGGGCCTTGCCATGCAGTTCAAGCTGGCCTTGAGCTCACTTTGTAGCCCAGGCTGGTCTCAAACTTGAAACGATGCTCCTGCCTCAGCCTCCCCAGTGCTGGGATTACAGGCGTGCACTGCCACGCCCAGCTTCTAGTGGGTGGAGCAAAGAAGGAAGGAATCAAACACAAACCCTGTCATGTCACTGTGATAAGGGCCCACATAGAATAAAGAGGGCGACGGGATGAACAGTCAACCAGAGGACATTATAGGGACACCAGTACAGGGAGTCTGTATTTCAGCCTAAAGAAGGGCTCAGAGGAAGGTAGGAGTTGAGGAATTCCGTCCTGGGGACCGCTCAGGGCCAGCTTCTGAGCAGGAGTTGGAGGGAAAGGGACGGCTCTTCTGAATGCTACCCTTGCCACCTGTTGCCTAGCACCGGCAGCAAACAGCGCCTCTGGCAGGCCCTGCCCTCACTCCCCTCTGACTGGCAGCCACTGTCAAACAACCAAGAGGCTGCGGCGTTGCCAGCCTCCTCCCCTGGCATATTTTAGGGGTAAGTCAGAAAACGACCAGCAGCCTCTAAAACCCGAGTTTTTCCCATGCGGACCTTACAAGGGTATATTGGGCTGCCGTGGGTGTTAATCTTCCACCCCCTTGCTTTAGAGAGCTATAAACACAGCCGCAGGCGGCACGCGCAGGAGTGCATGAATGAACACACCCACAGCCCGAGCCACTCCGAGGACACGCCACACACCTGCTCAGGGGCAGCGCTCCCCCCTCAGCTCCTGCAATCACACACAGCAGCCCCTGCTCAGGCACACAGTCACAACCACACACAGGACATACACAAACCCCGCGGTCACCGAGGCCAGCCCCCGCCCCAAAGGACCCTCCGCAGGGCAGGGTCACCACACACATCATCCGGATCGTACATCCACACGCCCACCTCCTCAAGGTAGCACAACTCCACAACCTCCCACTCCACACACCACACACAAACCGTGACCATCTGTGCCCGCGCCGCGGGATCACAGCACCGAAGGTTCCCCGCCACCCTCACCGAGTCCAAGGGCTCCGATTAGACACAGGTTCCCGCCCCTCAGCCTTGCGCGAGAGCACCGCGTTCTTTTTCGATTGAGTCAAAGCCCTCCCCAGACACACGGAGGAGTGGAAAAAAGGAATCAGAAAGAGAATGCTGGGGGCCAGGTCTGGGAAGGGACCCAGCAGCCAGCGCTTACTTGGGGATAAAGACCAGTGCTGAGTCGGACCCTGACACTTGCGGGCTGAGGTCTTGGGGAGGGGTTGGTTACGCCTTCAAGTTGGCAGAAGCCGGCTGAGCGGGGGTGACAGGTGGAGCCGGAAACTTCGCAGGGTGGACAAGGACTCCACCGCGCAGCCTTAACCCCTCGGCGACCTCCTCCCGTCCTTCCCTAACCCCAGCCCGCGGCTGTCCCCCGACGCACGGGGTGTGGCCCTGTTACCGCCCCTCCGCTGCCGACAGCTGCCTGACACCCGGCGGCTCCCAGCCCCTGCGCGTGGGGGGGACCCGCGCTGGGTGCCTGCGGGGCCCCTCCCCAAGCCTCGCTCCCCCACGGTGGGAGTGGGGGAACTGCTCCCCGGGCGCCGGGCCTCCCTCCTCCCCTCCCGTGCCCCGCAGCCGGGACTTGGGGAGGTGAGGTGGAAGGTTCGGGAAGACTCGGGGCGGCGGGATTGGGGAAGCGCCCCCCGCGCCCGCGCCCGCGCCCCGCGCCCCCGGGCC